TGTGTGTGTGTGTGTGTCTAACCTATGTGAAGCCACTGTACTGTGTGTATGAATATGTACCATTATGTTGTTATTACTACTTATGTGTTACTGTGCTGCCCAGTGCAGAAAACATCAAAAAAGACCAGAATGCATTTCCGGACAGTGCAATTGAAGACCTACATGTTCGGCATTAAAGGTAATAGCTAAAAGGTATTGGAAAAGAAATGAAGACCCATACCATGTGTGATACTACTGCACACAGACTTCATTCAAATCCAAATTACCTAGTTTAATGTGCCCCTCTAACCACAGAAATGTGTTAATATGATTTTATAACCGAGAGATGTCACCCTTTTGCCTCATTTATGTGATTTAACTGAGTGTAATCCTTGAGTTAATAGAGAGAATATCAGATTTGGGTCTTATTAAATGACGGCTCCATATCTTAACTGCCGAGCAGAGAGAAATACAAGGCAGGGTTCAGAGAAAGCAAAAGGTTCTTTCTGACCATCAAAAGCCACTGCTCTCTGTTCACACCACATACTATTGAAATAACATTTATTCAGTGCTTAAGGGTGGTAAATGTATTAAGGGAGAGGGATTTGTTTTACTTCGTATTATTGCTTGGAGCAATGGGATTATATGGACTAACAAATGACTTTCATCCTGTCTGAGCAGACACTTCACAGATAGTTGTGTTTACAATGTAACCTGAGGGAATCAAGGATTGAATGTCCAGTCAAAACAAAAATCTGTTTGTTGAATTAAAAAGAATCAGATTTATCGCACAAAGGCTCAATTATATCACCTGACTATTTGCTCTTGTCACTACAGAATCATCAATCATTCCATAGCAAAGCAATTTGCTGCCGCTGCTTCTACTAGTAAAATTACCCCGAAGTGGAACAGTCGTATAGCAAAGGACAGATATGGAACATAATATTGAAAAATAATTGAAGAAAGGTATCTTTTTTTTTCTCTGGCCTGCAACAAAACAATTGACATTCTGCTTGAGAACTGGATCACTGCTGTATTTGATATGCAAACGGATGTCTTTGCAAGCCAGGCATGCATCGCAAAGGTAAGTTTTGGCTATGACTAGCATCATCATCACTACCATCGGACACTTTGCCAGAGAGAAGCAGTTCCAGACATTAGTCCCATTAGAGGTGTTCAATGATTAAGAATGGCCCACCAAGAATTTGAGAAACAGACCTTGGTAGGATAAATGTTCCCCACCCCCTCCCTAGAATAATGACAGTATTAAGTTATGACTACATATTACCAGATGACTATTAGAGTTGAGCTTGCCTGCCAGCTTTTCATTTCATAATAAGACAAAGCAAAAAGTATAACTCCATTAATGAACCAACACAGCTCAAGATATTAACCACAGTCTCCGAGCCCTTTAACCAAGGAATATAAGAAATGTCCTCATTTCTACAGCAGCAACAGTAAATTCCATTCCTGGAGAAGCTCAGCAGACACCTGTTCCTCTCTGAAAGCTAATGAGCCCCTAATTGAATCAACTCCATTACATCTAGGTACAATTACCATTTTATTAGCCTTTACATGCTGTTCACTGTTACAAAAATCAACACACTAAGAGGTGTTGGCAAAATCAACACGGAATATTGAACACAGCACTACAAGTGCTATTTATTCTACAACATTTCTGACTCATATAGCCATGCACTGTTCCCAATAATAAATGGTTACACATAAGTCATGAGATAAATAGATGGATTTGATTTCTTGCTCGTTTAGTCTATTTTTGCTCTTTTTTCCTTTTACATCCTTACTCTGTACACAAGACATAGAAATGTATCCATTAGATAAAACAATAGCCTGGATTTATTGCCTGTTTCTGGACCTTACGTCACCTCATAGGAGAAATAGATATCTAGGGGGAAAAAATGACAGCGGTAGCTTTGAAGTATTTGACATGGAATACTAATGGCATCAATGATTTGTCAAAACGCAGAAAGGNGTTACTGCTTTTATATCACATATTTGGCCACAGTGAACAGTCAATACTCATATTTGCAAACCTCATCATTGTTTTTCATTCCAAAAACTTTCTGGCTGTGGTTATTACAAATTCTGTCTGGGAGATGAAGCAAATCCTTCTCTGCTGTATGATAAATACAAGTGTCACTTGTGATATCTGGCATTTACAAGGAAGCAATCAGACTAGAAAGTAACAAGAGCCCCCCTGCAGTACTACACTGTCTAGCAAGCAAGCTGCTATGCAACTGTTGATATGCCTAAGTAACACAGTCAGAGTAAAGTGGATTGAAGTTTAACCAATTTGCCATGTAGGTCAGTCAGACTACAAACACAGCTGCGAGTTCTGAAGTTGTTCGGCTCCTTCCTGAGATGAGAGAGAATTTGTGATGTAATTCTTTTTTCCAACAGCCAGAATTAAATGTAATCACTGTCAGCCTGCCACAGTATTATCACAGCTGTCATTGAGACACTTATGAGCAACAACACTGAATATGCTGGTAAAATAAATGTTGCACAGCTTCCCAATGGGATATTAAAATAACAACGACTGGGATGAGACAGAGAGCACGCTTCACAGAGATACGTCACAGTTTCACTCCGACAAAAGAAATGAGACTCTGCAAACCACATTTTTAATTGCTTTATGATAATTGTGTTCTGTCTGGGCTGTAATGACACTGCAACAATAAAGCTTATTCACGTAGCACACGTTTGTTATGGTGTTCTTTAGTCTGTCTCTGTTTTGCCCTGACACAAGGGCCTAGTCCTTCACACATAGACACCACAGTCAGCCGGTGTATTAACATAAGTAAGAAACAGACCATTCTGTTCCTTTTTCTTAATACCCTCAATAATTTGAGTCATTTATTTTACATTATAGATGTCATGGTTTGCATATATTGGAAGAGTACATATAGCAAAAGAGCAAACTACATGCTCAAGTGTCTCAATACTTTTTCATTAGCTACAAGCACCTTGTGTGCAGCAACAAACGTTTATGAAGCTCAAAGAACGGCGGTCCATATATATTTAAAATATAAAATATACAATCAAGGACTGCTGCCTTGAACAGCCTCTGAACCCCTGAACAGCCCTTTAGGCCAGAAAAGAAGACACAATTTATGAATGGTGACGTGTACAATATGTCATGGATTATACATCGTACAGTGTATAATAATGCAGTGTATTAGCAGCTGGTTACACATTTGCTCTTTTCTTCCCCTGTACAAGCAAGGCTCTTTTTAAAGGGATAGAAGGGTAATAAAGTGATTCATTTTTCATCTTGTCCTGAATATGGAGAGTTGCAAAGTTTCCTCGTCGCCAGAGTTCCAAAGATTTGCATGTTGAGTGTGAGAAGCACCAGAGGAAGAGTTAAAAAACGTCTGTCGAGGCTACATTTATTTTAGAAGATATATTCTTCATTATTTTCACCACTGCTATGCCTCACACCTCACCTTGTAGCAGACAGTTCCACAAGGACATTTTGACTGATCCTCACAAATTAAATTAGCTGTTTGAGGGTTAGGTTTAGAATTAGGTTTAGTGTTAGGCATTTAGGTGTGATGGTTAAGGTTCGGGTGCGGGGCTAGGGGATGCATTATGTCAATAAGTATCCTCACAACTATAGAGAGACGTGCTTGTGTGTGTGTTTGTCAGGTCTAGTTATAGCAAAACATCTAAATGTAAACTATTACACACATATGTTACAACACTGTATGTTTCACACACACTGTTAGCATTTGCTAACTGTTATGATGGTAATTGAGTATGACGTGTAAACCTGTAAAAAACAAACACACATTCACATAAACACACACACACACACACACACACACACAGCTCAGCACCTACCAGACTTCCCAGCTTTGATGAGGACGAGTTGTTTCTGTGTTTGAGCAAACCACATCCCTCCATGCCTGGGGCATCCCTGTGGTTGCCTTGGATACGAGGCCCACCCGCCCCCTCAGACGAGGAGCGCAGACGCCGTTCCATCCGCATCACCTCATGATAGGGGCTGACGCTGCTGCACATAGAGGCTAGAGGATAGAGAGAAAGACGCAGAGGCTGAACGTCAGGTAGACAAAGAGAACTAATTTATTCAACAGTGATTCCACAAGCACATAATCCTATTTTTATTACATTTCCAATAAGCAGCAGGCAGCCCACAAGGAATACATATATATTTATTTTCATATATCCTATTGACAAAGCAGTTCTTATTCAATCAACATCTGTAATGAAGCTCAATCTTGCTTTTATGAAGCCTTTCAGCCATATTACTTTTGGTCAAATGGTATTTATGCCTTTTTGTAACAATCAAGTTTAGTCCGAGGGCCTACATGAAGATTGCTGCGGAACAATAAAACTAAATGGAGAATGACTAACATTTCAGGGGGAATACGCTGCGTATGTGTGTGTGATTCTTGTGAAATCAGTCAATAAAATGAGCATGGATATTTGCACTTTGGGAAACTGGAATAATGCCAATATCCCTTATGAGCTGGAATGATCTCTTTCTTTTCCTCACATGAGGTGAAAAACACAGGAATAGGCTGGAGATTCACAGATGTTTTTGTGACTGGAAAAAAAACTCATCTTCAATGTGTTACAGCAGCTGAAGCAGAAGTGAGGAGCAGTGCATCTTTTTCAGCATGACACAACTGGCACTGATTTATCAGATAAGTTAACTGTCTGTATGTAGAAGGCAGCAGTAAGATTTTCATAACACATTTCAAGCTGTAGAATTTCTCATAATGTTTATAATGTTTGAAGACATTTGCAACTCTTATAAACACTTTGAGCCGGTAAAGAATAGTTAAGTTAGAATAGCATTATGTTGAACATGCTTGTTCTGGAGTAGTTTTCAAATAACAAGTGGGGAAAAAAAATCAGGAAATCAATTCTGACTAAACCAGTTTGCTCCATGTCCACTTGCCAGTTTCCTGTGGGAGTCTCTTTAAAAGGCTCGGTAACAAACTCTAAGATTTTTACTGAGTATGATGTTCTCACTTGCTCACTTGTTCGGTGGAGCATGAGGAAGTAATGAAAACAAGCACAGAGGAGCAGGAGCACGGCATCGCTACAACCACCTAATAAAAGTTCAACTACAAACTCACTATGATAGAGATTATTGTGAATGAATATGGTTGCCTCCCATTTCGCTCTTTATGTGCTTGGGTTCTGACGATCTGGACACTATACTGTTCTTATTATTTGTACAATTTGTTTGTTTTGTATATGTGTATTTATGTGTCTTTCGATAGTTTATTTAATCATCATCAAATAAGTTAATACAATCCTGCAAGGACTTACAAGTGAGCTAGAAGATCTAAAGAGTGACAGGTATGAAAAGTATATAAATAGTCAAAAAAGAAACTGTATGAGTGATAATATTAAACATTAAACTGACAAAATGCCATGAAGTCAGTCCTGCTCCTGTCTTTGAGATAACAAACCTGATCAAATGATTTCAAACAGCATAAAAAAACTTTTAAAGCCACGTTCACGTGTGTCTATGTGTCTCAGCCATCAGGATGATCAGCCTGGTTCTGTGACTCACTGTACACATGTACATGTGCATCAGTTACCTGCTGGTGTTTGGGTGAGTGTCATACCTGTATGTGGTTTCCTCAAGTGAGACGACCTGGGTTCGTGGCAGCCGCAGAAGCTTCCTCTTTCTTGTACCGAAAGCGTGTGCCTCACCCGCCTGTCCGATTGCTCTGGGTTGGAGTTGCAACCCTCGCTGCGTACCACGCATGCCTCGCTCTCACTCGTGGTCTCTGTGACGTACCCCGCCTTCCTCACCTCCACCACCTCCACCACCTCCTTCTTCTTCTTCTTCCTCTCCTCTGCTGACACCTCTTTCCTCGCTTCCTTTCTCTCCTCCTCCCTCTCCTTCCTCTCTTCCAGTGATTGTTCTGGAAGAGGAAGGCAGAGGACAGCTGTCCCGGGCTCAGAGAGGGAAATGGCAGTCTCATAGTCTGTGTTGTTGGCTGTGCTGGTGTCGGGGAGTAAAGGTTTTTCAGTGCTGGACTGAGCCGGAGTGAAAAAAACCTAAAGGAGAAGAAATTTTATTGAGTATTTTTAAAAACAAAACATGCCCCTAAAGGGTGAAAAAGTTAAAAGTTTCCTAATTCATCAAGTCACTGGGTTTTTGTGTCCTCGGGCAGTAACGTGTACATGTTTAACTGGCACAGTCATACTTTATATACTCTTCATTGTCTTTTCTTTTAATTGTTTTTACTGTGTAATGGTTTCCTTTCTGGAGTTCACCCCTCTACCAGGAAATAGAAAAATGTGTCAAAGGTGAAAAATGTGGAGAGCAGTTTGCAGACATGTGTAGATTTTCTTTTTAATGCCTTAGGTATTTCCATCTAAAGGACTTTTCATGGTCAGTTCTCAATTTTTATGCTGCATTTCACAGATTACATCCTGTGATCATAAATATTCTTATTTTATTTTTGTTCTTCCCATCCAAAGGCTTGTTTGTCTGTTCCTGCAAATCCCTGTTTGTGTATGTACAAGCAAGTATGTGTTGTTTGGGTGTCTTAGTATGTTTATAGCATGACACTCATATCGAAATGATTACAAGCAACTTTTCAATATGAAACAAAATTGAATTCAAAGCACCAGGAATGATTCAGAAAGACTGAAGAGTGTAAAACGGGGGACGCTACCTGGGAGGTGGAGACAGCCATGCTGAAGCTCTCTGGAACAGCTGGCAGGTCAGGTGGAGCTGTGTCAGTAGCTGGCCCAGGCACAGACACAGGTCCGGGGGCTAAAGCAGACCCGGGGCTGGGCGCTGGCAGAGCATCCACCTCTGATACAGAATCCTCCGTGATGGGGACAAACTCTGAAGGGGTGATGGCTGTAGTTCGGTCCTCGGATATCATAGGGGACTGGAGTGAGCTCTCGCCACTGGCACCAAGCAGTTCGCCTGGCCATGACCCTGGCGTGAGCCCCTCTGCCCCCGGAGTGATGGTGGTGGTGGCGGTGGAGCTTGGAGGTTCCAGATTCACCTCCGGAGGTCTGTGGTGATTGGAGGTGCGGGAGAAGCGGTGGTGAGCGGAGAAAGATTTGGGCAGCAGCTGCTTCTTCTGGCGTGACGAGCGTTTGTTATTGCTGCCACCGCTGTAGTCATCGAGGTACCCGGAGTCGTCGCCCTCATTGGCCCCTGAGCCACTGATGCAGTTTATAAACACATTTCGATTGGCTGTGGAGGAGGATGAGGAACCTTTGTCAAAATCCTCGGTCTGAGAACGTGTGATTTTCTTCTGCTTGTGGCTGCCGAACCCAAACGAGTGGCGTGACTTGGGCCGTCCGCCGCCATCACTGAACCCTGTCGACACTGACGATGTTATCGACTGCTGGTTATTTCCATTTGCGTCAGTGCTCTGTGTCAGTGGAGGTGTGAGGTTAAGGTTGATTGGCTGTACACGGGGTTCACTGTTCCGTTTAGATGTGAAACTAAGAGATGGGGTGCGGAAAAGGCTCCGGCGTTTCCCTGTGCTGCCAGAACTGGAGTTAGTGCTGGAGGGCGAGGACGTGTGGACACCATTTCCCACTCCGCCTGAAGAGGGAGAGGAGGGGAGAGAATCCTGCCTCTTACTATTGCTGCGGCGGAAGATTGGCAGGCGGGAAACAAGCGTGGAGCGACGAGAGCCGGATTCACCCATTTAGAAGCTGAGGCAGTGGAGTACGCTGAGGGAAAAAGACAAAAATAAATTTAATGAAAATCAAAAAAGCTTCACTAAAGGTAGCCAAAAGGAAAACTTTCAATAGTTGGAGTAATAATCTTAAATTGTAAGACACCTAATATCAGTGACATTCACACCTCTGACGATGCAATATGCTCTCTCGTGTGACACATGAATAAATCTTTAAAACTCAAGGTTATGGAGTAAATAACATTCAAATGTCTTCTATCTTATGTTACATATTTATTAATCTGTTGATATCTACAATAAATAAGTTTAGTCTTTGATTTGTCAAAACACAGTAAAAATATCTCCAAGTTGTGCGAGTCCAAGGTGACTTCTTTAAGTGTCTTGTTTAATCAGGCCCGCAGCCCAAAAGAGTTTACAGAGAGGGAAAATCATGAGAATGAGCCAATTAACACATAAAAGAAGCTGCAACCTCAGGGTTATTGTATTTTCGGCTTAATTAAACTACTGAATTTTCTGTCGATTGATTATTGAATTATTTAAGTAATTATGTAAAATCTTAAATTTCCAAATAAAAACCAGATTAATGACCAAAGTTCTAAGCAAATGCAAAACATAAACAAAACAGAAGCACTAAACATTTGCCAATAAAGTATATTTTCACCCTGCTGATGCTTCTGTTGGTGTCTTATGTATATTTGATGATATTTCGGGCATAAGCAATAATAACCAGTTGAAGTACAGATGGAGTTTATGCCTCAAAGATTATGTGTTCAAGTTCAGACTAATGTAAAGAAAGTCTGTTCATGCATGTGATCACTGCAGGTATAAAGGCTGTAGGGGTGACTCTTCTCTCACACGCCACATCTTACAATTAAAACTTTGTCTGACAGCTTAATCACAGAACACAGCCAGATGGAGCAAAAAGACAGTGTTGTAGGACATGCTGTGTGCTGTGTGCTGTGTGCAGCGGTGCTCACGACTCTGGAGACTGAAGTACAGATTCTTATCTTCTCCTCTATGCTCAGAGCATTTTGTGAATTCATTGCTCAAATTGGAAACAGACAGAGAGCAAAGTGGGACCAATATCTAATGTTTGATAAACTGAAATCATTATCATTATATCAAGCCTTACATTAGGAATGTCAGCAATCTACCCTCTCACCTGCACTGTCTGAGAATAAGGCTGCTTCTTATGTTCATATCAGCTTATGTTTTTAATTATCACGATTAATGTCACATTATTGTTACTTTTGACTGAACAACTGATTTTGTTCTTCGAGAAAGACAAACACTTGATAAACAGCAAAACTAGACATTGATCACTGATGTATTATACGTCCTCACTGTGCTTACAGAATGTATAAACATGATATCGAAACGTATTGGACTTTTCTTATATTACCATTGATACATATTATACTGCAATAATTACTAGTATTGTTTTATCGGCCAGGCAGATCTGAGAGTAGCGGTTGACAAGCAGCAGGTCTGTGCCTCATGTTATCTGGATCAAACTCTACTGGAAAAAGCTGCAGTCAATACATTTCTAAAACTTCCAGCAAGCTTCTTCGTCATTACAACCAGCAGGGTTAATGTCTTACTCACTGTATGAGCTTGACCAAAGTTCCACGTGTTGAGTCACAGATTAAAGGGGAGACGCTCACTGTGATAAGTCCTCACGTTGTCATTGTTTACTTCCACTAATGAGCCGAAGAGAGACTGCATGGATGTTTTAATATTGATGGAGCTGCCTCTGTGAGAGCTACTGAAGAGTTTTGGTTTTCGATCTCTATGTAATAAGCTTACGTTAACGCCAGTTAATGAAAGGGCTAATATGCGTTTCGCCTCCTTAGAGTAAATTTGATCAAGGTATAAATACACAGTGATGCAGCTGCTGTTTTCAGTGCTGCAATACATAAAACTGTGTATAAACATTGTCAAAGACATGGGCCAGTAACATTTATGGTAATGACACAGTGAAAACATTACGTACATTTGCAACAACATGCTGCTACAATTTGCTCCAGCTGTCCTGGATGACTTCAAGCTGCCTGTGTGAATCTAAAACTGCAGGTTTGGACTTTAAAACACATTTGAGACTTTTCAAGTGAGTCAGCAGCAGCTTAGTAACGTTAAGTTTTCACACTGTCACTACACAGACATTTGACCAGGTCGTGGTTCTCTGACCTTGCTCACTGAGACCATACAAACCTCCTCCGCCTAATTCAACAGAGATTAAAACAGATTGAGAACGCCTCTGATGTTTACTTTACCAATCTGGGCTCAGAGAAAACTCTTTTAAGCTATAGCTTAGAGGTGCCGGGCCTTCTGAGTTGCAAAATGAGACATTAGGAAACATGAACAATTGTAGCAATGGTATTTGTATGTGTGTGTGTGTGTGTGTGTGTGTG